TGTAAGCGTTCGCTTTTACATCGGTGATTTTCAACTACAGTTGGCTTTTTCCAATTAATCATGAATGGAAACATAATATCAATGACTTCAAGGCACCTTTATAACGCATAGAGCAACCTGTATTAAGTAGCATAAATAAGCGTCTGCCCTCCCTTTTCCGTTTCAGGCGACAGCGACTGCAGCAGCTGCCGCAGTTAAATTCAACTGGAAGCCTCATCCCTGAGGGTGGCGATGAGGCCGCAAAATCAAGTGGAGAGAGACGGAGTAAAGACGCTCCATTTCCTACCCTGAGACAAACTTCGTTTCCCTGCTCCTTTAGCCGCCTCTCACAAATGCCGCCCGTGCCTCTCTCTTCCTTCCACTCACCCCCTCGGCCAGGCAACGGCGATGGAGGACTGCGTTTGTCTCCTCTGGCTGTCCCTTGTCCTCCAGTGGGACGCCTTCTTGAGTTCTCCTCTCTCTCGGAACGCTTGTGGGGCGACGTTAGAGAGTCAGAGCGCCTTCTGGCCACTGCAGTAGCCGCAGCCGCACTGGATCGGCGGCCTGGCAGCCTTGCCAACCTTCTTTGCCAATCATTGGCAGCAGGTCATCAAAAGTCATCCAATTTCCCTCAAACTCGTAAGTGGTCTCATCTCGTCGGGCAATTGATGATTTTTAAAATCGAAAACATTGGCTTTAGCTACCGCATTATGGACCTCATTTGATGCATACAACCAAAATTTGAGATGCGCTATGTAAAGCAAGTTGATCGACCCCTATGGTTGAGACATTACATCTACTGAAAATCCACAAAATGAGTCACTTCCGTGTATGGAAGGCGAGAGGAAATTCCTGTAGTCTGATATGATAGACCAGCCAAATGTGTCTTCCTACCATCAGTTGTAGCTGCGGTGTCACGTTGCCTCTTATTGACATTTTACTTAAATTTAATTATTTGGGCTGTTTGTTCTGTGGTTTTGCTTCGCTGAAACGCACAAGGCAGAGCCTCGGAATGGATAGGTATTCAGTCCGCTGACAAGTTCTAACCTTTCAGCACTTTCTACCTTGATGAGAAGTCGGGGCTAAAAACAGAATAACACCTTCCGTTATCTTTCACTTTTGTATAGCAAACCTGGAGAAATTATGAGGTCTATTTTGTTTATAAAAGAAGTGGCAGATTGTTTTTGATTTCGGGCGAGACTGAGCATGAGAACTTTATGCTCGTCTGCCATCGGAAAATCTTCTCAAATGCTCACCTGACACAACTGGCTGAATTTACCCAATCTTATTGTTACCGAAATTTTATTTATGCAAAAACATTCAACACAGTTGAACATCACATCCAGGGAGTAAATTAAAAGATACTGGATTGAAGAAGCACAAATGGTCCTTGCAGGAGCTGGTAGATAGGGGCGTGGCGGTCAAGCTAGCTCAACCGTCCCGGTTGATTGGAGCTTCTTTGCCATTCTTTGAAGTGATGACCTGCCATTAAAACCCATCCTTTCGCCCTGACCATGATAGCCTGTAAGGAATGTTACTTTGAGGTGGGAGGGAAGGGGGTTCGGCTGTTGGGAAAAGTGTAATATGAGTGTACGTGCGAAATACCTTCACGCATGAAAGGAAACGATGTGCCTAACCCACCAGCTAATGTACCCATAAAACTAACAATTAGGGAACAAAAGGGTGGGCGCACTAAGCCCTCACTCCATCCCTCCCTTCCTCTACTTCCCCTAACAATACACATGGAGCTTTTGTGAGACGCACGTAATACCAGATAGGCATGGGCAGTTCCCTTAACAAAGTATTGGACGCTGCCTATACTATCCTCATGTGGCAGCGCATTTGGAAAGGTGGTGTTTTCACTCTAATAATCTGGTTTTTCGTGGGAATCGTTGATGCTCCATGTCAATCGTATGTGATAAACCCCCAACTGTGTTTAACTACAGTGTACTTGTTTTGAGCAGCTGAAAAGCAATCGCAACAGGGAAACTGTTGGAATGTGAGAAAATACAGAGTGGATATTTGGTGCGAACTTCGCAACGACAAACGCTCATCTGTATGCCATAAAATTTCCAAGATTACCATCACAAAACGGAACCGGAAACATTAACCTTTTACAAGTTTTGGTCCTACAAATTTATCTTGATCACATTCTCAAATTCTGACTTTTAGACAATGGTGATATTTTTGGGAGTTAATTCGATCACGAGGGACGAACACGACTAAAATTTACGAGGTGATATTGGCTAAGGTGCGGATGCGGATCGGTGTCCATACTCATCATTCAACTCTATGGGCCGTGAAAATTTTCATTGCATAAAAACAAGTCATCATTGCTCGTAATTTTAGGCGTGGTTGCACCATTAATGAACAATGAGCCTCCTATCCTCTAGCACCTGTCATCTCGACTTCAACCTGCGATCAATGGTGTAAAAGCAGCGCCTTAACAGTATTATCATTTAATTTAAACGTCCAATTCATTCAGACATTGCCATTAAAGTGCATCGACTTTTTTTCAGGGTTGGATGCTTTCAATTATCTGGAGGGG